GCGCCGGGGCCGCGGCGGGCCCGCTGCGCCTCCCGCCGCCGGGGGCCGCGTCCGGCGCTGCACGACGGGCCCGCGAGGCTGGAGGCCCGGCCCGCCCCGCCCCCACGGCAGGCGCGGCCATGGCGCCCGGGGCTCACCCACCTGCATGGGCGGCATTCCCTCGGCCATTTCCCCGCGCAGCGCCGGCTCCTGGTGGCAGACCTCCTCCGGGGGCAGAGCCTGGGCCCAGCTCCAGCTCCCGCTGTCCAGCCCCAGGCCCTGGATGCCCAGCTGCTGAGGCTGCGGCCGTGTTGACACAAACTGCATCCTGGGAGTGCTGTTCCCCGCTCGGGCCGGCCAGGGAGAAGAAGAACGTTTTCCAGGCGCCTTCCCCCTCGCCGGGGCCGGACAGCTCCATCTACAGCCCGTAGGAGCAAACAGTCCCCTTCGGCGGCGCTCCCCGCCCTCCGCAGCCGGCGCGCCAGCCAATGGCTTCGGAGCTCCTGCCCGCCCGCGGGGGCTGGCCGCGGCCACTCTGGGCTGGAGCCACCGCCGCCCGCAGAGCGATGTGGCGGCTCCGCCCGAGGTCAGGGGTCCGCGCGACGGCCTGCCTTCAAGCCCCAAGCAAGGCAGGGCCCTGGACTGCGGGCCCGTTTTCTGCTAATTCTACAAATATATTGGGCATCCCAGGAGAAAATGGTGCCTTCTGAAATTTTTACTGAAACGTTTACTGAACACCTACTATGCTCCAGGTACTCTTAGGCAGAGGGTGCAGCTTCACAGTTGTAGACACCTGAGTTTAAATTCCAAATCGCCACTTGCTAGCTGTGACTCTGAGCAATTTAACTTCTCCGAGCCTCACGTTTTCCTCCCATATATATTTTTTCTTTTTTTAATTTACTTTATATTTTCTCTTTTTTTCCCCTCCCATATAAATGAAGAAAATAATGCCTACCCTGGTCTATTTTAATGCTGTGAAATTAAATGAGATGAGACTTCTGCCTGGCATATAGTGGGCACTCAAGGAAGACAGTTATCCCTCACCCAAGGAGAGAAATCCTTGTAATTATCAGCAATATAGTGTCTACCTGGTCTCCCTAAAGGACCAGTGCTTATCTTAAGAACAGAGATCTCCAAGTCTTATCACCCCCTGAGAAACAGACCTACTGGTGCCTGAGTTCCATTGCACTTAGTAAAATAAAGAACATTATGGGCCCAAGGGAGACACGTGTTTACAGTTCTATATTCAGAAGGGCCATTATCAAGTACATACTTTCTCTGTTAGGCACACTTCCAGGATATAGAAAGGAGTATTTCATGGAGTTAGTATTATCCTCAGGGAGATTAGGGACTGATAAAGGTTATGCTCCCAGAACTCAGCGGTTTCCCTTCTTTCCTGGCCTCAAGCTGCCTCCCTCTGTTGTAAGTATAATGTCAATATTATTAGGGGAACCAGGCTAATTCATTTCTGCCAGCAAGCCACACCTCAGAGCACACATTCTGACCCACAGAGCATCAACTATCTCCCCTCTTTCCTAGAGATAGGGAATGGAGGACTAGGACAGTCCCGAGCATGCAAGTATCTTTTTAGGATAAAATTGTTAAGATTACTTCCCTTCCTTTTTAATAAGTTATAGCTACAACTCTTTTTATACAAAAGATGGTGCATTTATACACTTTCTCCTTTGCAGAGGTTGGATTTTCACCTGGCCATCCACATCTTCACCACTTGTGACCAGAGTGGCTGCTCAGAGCTAGAGATATAGTTCACTGCTGTATATGAACAAAGCTACACAACTTCAACAGAATTAAGTGCACAGGCTTCAGTTGGTGGCATTATTTTATAACCACTGAGCCTAGAAACAACAGACCATAAAAACCCATAATGGATACAAGCAGAAGGGTAGACATTTGGGGGTGTTTAAGGAGTACTTCCCTAAAGGAAAAAACAAAGGGCACAAGGAGGGAGCTACTAAAGCCACACAGGTCATGGACCCTACTATTGGTACTGCAGTTACAAAGGGTTAATGAGGCTGAGACATCCGATGGTGGAAACCCATCCTGCCCTTGGAGATGTCCTTGAGTTATCCTTGAGGAAAATGCCAAGTATCATGGTTACAACAGATTTCTTGGAAGGCCCCAAGCCTGGCCCCTTGACCTGTCAGGTTGGCCTTGATGCCTTCCTTCTCTCCACCTGGAAATTCTATAGCTACTGCAATGGATAGGGCATTTGAAGTGGTAGATGCTCAACTAATGGATGCCAGAGAGGCCAAAAGAGAGGGGATTCGTAAAACTGGAACATTTATTTATCTACCATTTTCTAAAGATTTCTGGTGCTGTGTTCTTTCAACAACTCCTGAGATTTATTTGAGGGAAACCTCCGGATTCACTCTTGGCTAAGGGAAGAAGATAACCAGATCTGTTCTTTGACTTAGTTTCACCCACCTCTCATTTAACAAGCAGGTCAAGAACTACCAAGGTGGCCCATGGGAAAGGGAGATGAGGACAGCCTCAGAGCCTCGGGCTCTCTTCCCACTGGCACGTCCATGTTCACAGGTTCCCATCTTCACTTTCACTTCACACTGTGCCTATGGGCTTGAGTGTAGTTCAGTGGTAGAGCACTTGCCTGGACATGTAAGGCACCCTAAGTAGTGCATAAAAATAAATATAATAAAGGTATGTGTCCAACTGCAACTAAAAAACAATATCTAAAAATATAAAAGACAAGGCTGGGGTTGTGGCTCAGAGGCAGGGCACTCACCTAGCATGCGTGAGGCACTGGGTTCCATCCTCAGCACCATATGAAAATAAAATAAAGATATTACATTCACCTATAACTAGAAAATAAATATTAAAAAATAAAAATGAATAAAGACACTGTGCCTAGTTAGACCCACCTCCAACGGAGGTCAATGCTTTAGGCTACAATGTCATTGACCTCCTCACCTCTAGAGGCAGAGCATTCTGAGGGGATGGGTGCTCAGGGTAAAGTGACAGAGCTCCAAGACCACTGTACTGAAAGGAGGGTTGATGTGGGGCCACAGCCAAATGTTTTGTGTAACTTTACAAAAGTTTTAAGGGCATTTTGCTCTTGCCAAAGAGTTTTCAGCATCCTTTTTACAGACCCATCTTTTGCCAACATTTTAACTCAAACACCCATCTCTCTTCCAAAAATGTTTGCTTTAAGCCTATGCAAAGTTTGGGAATATACTTTTTCCCTTCTTGAGTTTATTCTTAGGCTGCTTCACTTAAGCATTTCATCTCCTTTCCAAGTTTGACACTATAGACAAGTGACCTTCATTGGCTTCTCTTAGTTTTCTTCTGGTAGTGGGCATTGAACTGAGGGGCAACAGCTTATCACCAAGCTACATCTCCAGCCCTTTTAATTTTGAGACAAGTTCTCACTCAGTTACTGAGGTGGGCCTTGAGTTTTTGATTGTCCTGGCCCAGCCTCCAGAGTCACTGGGATTACATGCTTCTCTTTGGTTCTTAATGACTTTGTGATACTACAGAAGTAATGTTCAATCATTGAAACTGTTTTAACTCAGTGAGCACCCAAGGCTTAGGAATCCTTTATGCAGAAGATATGCTATATGTAATTGCAGTGTGTCCTTTCAAAGGCAGCCCTCCAAATTTTAAGTGCTTGTTTAATTACTAAAATGGTCAAGATTCATCTAAAATAGAGTCTAGTGCTCATGACAAAATGTACCAGTGTTTCCAAATGCAAAAGTAAGGTATGATTGTTAATTCAAGTTGGTAATAATGTCACCAAAGTCCCTTGTTTTTCTGCAAACTCCTCTTACAAGAAGGTGCAGGCCTCAGGAGGTTAGGAAAGTCTGCAGCACGGGTGCTGGCATCCCTCTCAGCTGTGCATATCCTGCCCAGTCCTGCCAGCGTGTGGTCTTTGGACATGGCACACAGAAGGTGCAGCAGAAATGAATGCTGCTTTCCCCACTGCCTCTAGCTTGCCTAACTATGGAGAGAAGTCAGAACTTTTTCAAATACCATTTCCATATCCTATTTCCCTAAGTCCTGCCTCCACTGTCGAGTTACAGCTTCCCACTGTGGATTCCAAGACCTTTATTCATCTCTGATCCATAGCTCACTGCTCTAGTAAGGCTCACTGACCAATGCCTGTCTTCCTCTTCCTAGGATCTTTTCTATCTCACAGGCACATTAGAATCACTTAGGGGAACTCAGAAACACACAGGCTCCATCACAGACAATGAAGCCATGCCAGGGTAGGCCCTGACACAAATGTCTTCTTCTGAACCCTGAGTCATTCTCAGGTGCAGTCAGGAACTTACTAGTGCAACAGCACTAGTCCTTGTCTTGGCCCAAAAGATCATCTGGGGAAATGAAAATCCCAAATTATTACTTAATATCTAATAACATAAATATGATTGGTTTAATTATTCTTATTCATAGTTTTTATCTTGTTTACTCACTAAGGTTGGTTAGCAGTTATTGTCTTTATAACACCATTTTAAGAAATTATAAACTCAAGGCCAAGAACTGATTTACCTACGTAGTATCATATGCATCCATAATTTCAAATTGTTTAACCCTTTTTTTTTATAATTAGGATTGTACTCTTTATTCTGTAATAAATGCAAGTGTTTATTCTGCTGTGTTAAAAACAATCACTAATAGAATCTGGAGTAAAAACAGAAAAGAGAACCCAGAAGTAAAAATCTTAAGTTCTGTAATTTTAGATTCAGAAGGGACCATATTTTACCATCTTCTTCAATCTTCACATTAGAATTGGGAAAACAAGATCTTCATAAATTAGTTTGCCCCACATCAAGTACAGAATGTTATACTGGGACCAAAATCCAGTTTTTAACCACTCTTGTGGTCTTCCCACAATATACTGAGTATCCCGATGCCCAACACCATGAGGGAAACAAAATGAGACATAGTCTGTGTTTGGGATAGTTTTGTTTTGCTTTATAGTACTGGAGATGGAACTAGGCCTCACACATGCTAAGCAAGTGTTCTACCACTGAGCTATACCTTAGCCCTTGGGTAGCTTAATTTTTAGGCCAGTCTCAAGATTTTAAAGCAAATAATGGCTTTACTAATAAAGACAAAGCCACATAGTTCAGCAAGGTTTTATCGGACATTTTATTTGAAATGAAACCTGGCTATCTTGGGGAGATTTGCTGCACGATGCTTTTATGGCTTCTCTGGTTTGGCTGCATCATTCTGCTTTGACGGGTAGTTAGTCTTAGAGGTGATATTTTTGGAAGAGGCAATTTATTTGACCAAGCTGACAAGAGTCATTTGTGTGATTGTGGCCAGTTATTCATTTAAAAAGAAACTGGAGCAAGGCCAGAAAGGTATGAGTAACACCCTCCCTTGACTCCTAATGACATTTATTTTACAAGACAAGCAGCACCTTCCAGTTCCTTTATGCAAGTGACAATATGCTCTGGTCTAAGGACAGATTCTCTAGTACTAGAAATGTCATACAGTCACTGCCCATTCCCAAGTGAATCCACCAGCCCACAGATCTTGGTGCAGGAGCTGTAGGATTTCCACTACTGACTCCAGCCAACTGAACCAGGATAAGCTCGTAACCACAAGGGTTGGCTGGAAACTTCTGGGTCCTCACATAGGAAGAGGAGCTGGGCAGACTCCTTATTAAAGAATTTACGAAATTTCAAAGAGAATCAGCCTCATGAGGTCATGGCACACAGAAACTTATTGGAGCTGGGAGACACAGGAAAAAATAGGCCAGCCTAAATAGAAGCAAAAGATAATGTTAGGCAAAAGGCTGAGCTCCCAGCCACCCTGTGCCCTGCAGGGCAGCTCAGTTTTTGACACTTGCACCTCCAATTCAACCAGGATCTGTGACCTCCTCCTTGTGTCACAGGCTCTGTGCTAAATACTTCACATGGGTTTCCATGCATACCCTAACACCTCTGAGAATAGGTCTCAAATCCCTACTTTACTGATAGTGAAACTAAGGTTCAAGATGGTTAAATAACAGACCTATTACTTAGCAGGACCTGAATCTAGATCTGACCAGAGTTCTTGCCCTTGGCACTGCTCTAACCCACACTGTGCACCCTTACATCAAGGCCCTATGCTCTCCTGGTCCCATCCCATCATCACACCAACCTGACCTAACTCAAGTATCTTTTGCCTGAAAGATCCTGAAACTTTCCAAAACACACAACAGCCTCTCACAGACATGTGAGAAATAAATTCTCCTTTGCTACAGATAGGGAACCAGAATTAATGCAACAGGGCCAGAAGTGTCCCTCAAAACCACAGGAAAAAAACCTATCTGCTAACATCAGAGGTCTTGTCTATAACAACCTTTTGAGAAGACTAGCTATTTACAACCCTCAGACAGCTGCTGAAGGGGCATTTTGATGTTGCAGAAGCCAAGACCTGGGGAGTGGGGGGGTCCTACCCTTGCCTCAGAGGAAATATGAGCAGAAATTTAGGACTTCCATCCTATTTGAAAGAAAAAAAGGGACTCAGACCCTTTATCAACAAGATTTTTTGGGGACTGTGCATGTTAATGCCTAGCAAGCTACAGGGTTTGGCTGAGAGAAGCCCAGCAGGGATCCCCACCAGTGGTGGAATTGTGGTGGAGGAATTGTGTAGAACATGGATCTAGCCAGAGTCCACCTAAGGTGTCTTCAGTACCAGGTGTCCAGCAGAAGAGGCTCAGAGTCACCTTTCACTTTCTAGACAATCAACCAACTTCCATTTATTCTCACATTTGAGGCTGCACTAGGGGCACATCCAATGGTAACCATGGAAACGTAGTAAGCAGAGTGATTGGTTAGTCAACATCTGGATCTACTCCAGAGGAGAGGGTGCTTGTGTGCCAGTCAGAAGGACAGGCGAGGAGCACAGTTCTGGGGTTTCCTCTTCCCTATTGTGTCCCCAGGCCTCAGGTGCTTCTCTCAGCATGGTTTCTCTCAGGAGCACTTGATGGAACATGAATTTCTCCTCCACATGCTGAAAACTTCATTGAACTCTATCTCATCTTTCCCACTGATCCATTTCTGAATCATTAGCAGAAAAACCCTTTAGAGGGGGCCTGGAGTTCTACCTGATGGGGCCTGATGAAGGGAAAGAACAGAACCCACAATAGTTGAACTCCCTGCCTTGTGTCAAGGCTGAGGATTAGGTTTCCACATGCTTGTCTTTCTGGGATGGCCTGCACATTCCCTTTCATAAAGCTTTATGACTCTTGCTCCAGTGGCATTTGGATTATGTTCACTTTTTGCCAAAATTAGGTCCCTGTTGGCTACAGTTCTTAGCAGAAAGGGCTGTGGTATCTATCTGCCGCATTTTAATGCACAGGTCTCTCTTGTTATTAGTTGTAGTCTCAGTGAATCTTTTCAGTCAATGAATTTTAGATGTTATCTGGTCCCACATCACATCTAATGTAGGAATCCCTCCTCCAGCATACTCTGGCAGATGCTTGAATCCATTCCAAAGAGAGCTCACCTCCTAAAGATGGTGCCTTGACTCTTTTCCCTTTTAACTGGGGGAATCAAGGTGCAAACCAGAACTGAATCTCACACTGAAGTTCCTAGTGCATCAACGAAGGTAGAACCCTGATTTTGGGATTCCCAGAACTCCTCCAAGTTTTCCTGGTGTGGGCCAGATTGTGGTTAGAAAGCTCTTGATCCCAACATACCAGGGTTCTGCCCATCATTCGTCTTGTTCTATTTCCTTGGATTTTTTTCATTGTCTATAGACTGAAAGTTAAGACAGCAGCCCAGGTCTCACACACATTTCTTATGTCTCCCATAGTCCCTGGTATTATGAATGTCACAAAACAGTGTTTTATAAATGTGACTATCCTGAAGAGCAGCCTTTTCAGACAGAGACTTCCCAGGAGCACAGCCAGCTGGACTAACATCCTCTCCTAGCAGGGCTACACAGAATGAGGCAGAGTAAAGGTGGATTCAGTGATAAGGAGAAAACATGTCCCTTCCTTATCACTTATCAAGAAAGTGTCCTGTCAAAATAGTCCCAGACCTTGTTCCAGGCATCAGAGAAGAATCAGAGGAAACAAGAGGGTATGGGAATAAACAACTTTTCTGCCCAAGACATAGGGCTTTTGCATTCTCTCTTCTACCTCAGGCTCTAAGCATGAGCAAAACAATAAATCAAATCAATTTCAGTCAAGTTTCTGCAAGAACCTTTGCTTTGATTTTGCTGTCATATTTAGCTTCACCTGGACAGAGGCCAAAGACAGGGATTTTGGCAGGAGAAGGAATGTATCACAGGATTTTTTTTTTTTTTTTTAATTTCTAGAGGCTAACTTTCCCACTTTTACCAGTCTCAATTTGCAGTTGAAATTTGAGAGCTATAAAGAAAAAAGGGCTTTTAACTAGTTGCAAAGACGTTGAGGAGCAGAACTAGGTTCAGATCTGCCCAGGTAACAGTGACCCCAAGGAAAAAAACCATGGTAGCCGAGTTACCTAAAAGCGTAACAGGCAAGACAGGTCATCCTTGTCTGCATGTGGTGTTCAGCTCTAAGTGACCTAGGAGGTGCCAATGGAGTAGGGCCAGGTGGGGGGGACCAGACAGCCTCCCTGCTGAATGCGAGAATGAGAATGCCACATTACAACACTGTGACTGGCTAGAGGAAACAAAAGCCCAGAGCTCAGCAGCACTTTCTGAAACTCCTTAATGTTTCAGGAAAGTGCTGTGATCTTTGCTGCTGATCATCATCAAGACAAGCAGATACCAGGAATGGAAAAGCCAGCTTACTAGCTTGGAAAAGATAAGGGAGAATGTGACATAAAACACTCTAAAATTCTGTTTCAGGCACAGGTTTTAAGCAGTTCTATGATTGTTACACCAGCTACTTCTTGGGATCTCTAGCTTTTAAAGCTGGGCTGAGAACTCTGCTTCCAATTTTCTAACCAGGACCTTGGCAAAGATTTCTGACAGTTTAAATACCAATACAACAGCTTGAATGCTTCGAACCAAGCCAGCAAAAGTTAAGAACTGTTCTCCTAAATAAGCTATTTAAGTCGGGTTTTTGTTCGCAGGTATTGACAGAATGTATTAAAAGACAAGGTGGGAAAGCTAGGAGGCAGTCTCAGTCCTCCTGTTTCAGGGACAGGCGGCTGCGCAGCTGTGTGAACAGAGCCCGGCTGGTGTCCAGGAGGCAGCAACATAAACAGTGGCTAAGGCCCATTCTTCCAAAGTTACCTCACCTGGAGGAATTAATGAAAGGCCTGGCACATTCTCATGCCTGATGACCTGCTTCATGCTTGAGGGCTCTTTCCATGCACTTATCTCTACCTAGACGCAGTCCGTTCTCATTTTGCTTTCCTGGAACAGGATAAACTGAGGTTGACTCTTGCTTCCCAACCTCTCTGTAATATTTTTGACTTCTGTTTTTGTGGTATCTTTGAAAAGATGGGGCTGCGGGGCTCCTTTCCAGGTCTTTCTGTATTTCTGGTATTGTACTTTTGTTAAGTTCCAAAACATAAGCATATCTCCAGTGGAGTATAGAGGAACCAAATCTCTTATGCGTCAGATAATAATTACTGCGAGTGGTGGAGGGCTTGGGGGCTTCATATAGACTTTCTGTCCTGTCGTGAGCGTAGCTAAACCAGACTTACAACCCACCCCCTCCACTCCCTTCCCCATACCACTGATTGGTCTCTAGACCTTCCGTGCTAACACCCAGGCCAGAGGTTTCAAGGCCAGCTAGGAGTGGACCGGGTGGGTCGGGGGGCCGTGTGGCAGGGTCGCTTTCGCCCACACAGCCTCCATTGTGGCCCGAACGCAGGTGGTCCTTAAGCGTCTGCTTGTAGCGGAAGCTCCTGCCACAGAGGGCACAGGGGTAGGGCCTCTCGCCCGTGTGGATGCGCTGATGCTTCATGAGGTGATGCTTGCGGATGAAGCTCTTTCCGCAGTGCGCACACTGGAAGGGCCGCTCACCCGTGTGCAGCCGCCGGTGGTTGAGCAGATGCTCCTTGCGCATGAAGCTCTTGCTGCAGTCAGTGCAGGGGTATGGCCGCTCGCCCGTGTGGATCATCTGGTGGCGGATCAGGGCCGAGTGGCCATTGAAGTCGATGCCACACTGAGGGCAGGAGAATGGGCGCTCCTGTGCGTGCCCACGCTGATGTAGCAGGAGGCTGATCTTCAGGCTGAAGCTCCTGCCACACTGTGTGCAGCGGAAGGGCCTCTCACTGGCGTGAGCCCGCCTATGACTCGTGAGTCGCGCCTGGTCAGCAAAGCGCTTGGGGCAATCCGGACAGGGGAAAGGGCGCTCAGTGCTGTTATGGACCCGAAGGTGGTAGGTGAGTCTTGATGGGTGAGTGAAAGTCCGGGCGCAATGTGGGCAGGTGGGGGGTGGCTCACTGGCATGGTCCTGGGAGGTGCTGCCAAGGTCCGTCTGTGGGGCAAAGTGCTTGGGGCACTGGGCACAGGGTAAGGGATGCTCGCTAGTGTGGCCACATTGATGAGTCAGCAACATGTCCTGGTTTAGACTCTTGCCACAGTGGTGGCACGAGAACAGCTGCTCCCCAACTGGAGGTGGGAGAGGGTAGCTACCCAATTGAGTAAAAGTCACTTGTCCCTCTGAGGCTTCAGGCAAGTCACTGGCTGCACGTCCAAAAGGTGTCATGGGAGTGGACTGCTGGTGTTTGAAAGCCACATCTGAAAAAGCATCCTTTGCTGCTGGTGGTGCTGGAGCAGAGAACGCAACAGGAACTTCAGGGCATAAGGAGGCTCTAGCAAGGCCCTCGGCTTTGATGACGAGCTCTTCATCTGAAAGAAAGGACTCAAGAGTTACTCCCCTCAGGAGCTGTCTCACCGGCAACCCTCACAAGTTCCTACCCAGCTCCAACAGGTTTGCTCTCAGCTCTGAGCTGCTAAGATAAACAACACAGCAGAGGGCTGCTGTGATATTAATCAAGGTGTAGCAGTCCCTGTGGCAAATCAGAATTAAGGCTGTACTCTTTGATGCTCCCTGTTGAAAAAGGAACACTCTTGGCATCAGTCTTCTCCACATTACTGTATGTTTCACCTCTGCTCAAGAACTTTATTGCCTGTTGGGACAAAGCCTAAAATCACCTATTTATCTATTCTTATTCTTCTCTGTTCCACTTTCCCTGAAAATAGGGTAAGCATTTTACTTCTGCATCTGTTCTCCCTTCTGTAGAATACCTCCCTCCTTTCCCCATCTTACCAAATTATATCCAGCCATCTCAAACCAATTACCCTTCTAGGCCCACTTCTGGCTTCATGTCCTTCTTTATACCTTATTTAAATATCAGAAATATTCTCATTTCTGTTATGCTTATATAGCCCTTGCCACATAACAACATATGTGTTCCCAGGGTCAGTTTCTTGAAGGACAGAAACTGTCTTATTTTTCATTTGTACTTTACTGAATCTAAAGGAATACAGGGCTTGGAAGATAATAAAAGAGTGTATTTAGTTATATAAACAGTTGGATCACTTCTGACCTTGAGATTCTCTTTTATAATTCCACTGGCAAAATGGAATTATAAAAATATCTTAGAAGGAAGCCATTTCTATTTCTTCTCCCATCATCGCTTTTCCTTTCATTGAATGTGATTAACATTTCCACTTGCATCTCTTCAACAACATTCCTGTCTCTATCACCTGTCTCCCCACCCCACTCCCTATTTTTGTTTTATACTTTTTACATGATCTTCAAATGTTTTTCTGTCTTTTCCCATCTTCATACTTCTGGTCCATCTGAATGCACTTGTTTTTCTTCCTTTCATAATTCCAATTTGTTTTTTATTGTAGTGCTTGGGATTAAGCCCAAGGACATGTGCATGCTAAGAACATGTTTTACCACTGAGCTCCACCCCCAGCTCTAACCATTCCAATTTGTCTTTCATTTGAATGTGTTTTCTCACTTGCAATTCATCTTAGTGCCTTTTATGGCTTAATTCGACCAGATCTTTTTTTCTCCCACTACTTTGCCTTTAAAACCCCATTCCTGCTGCGGCTTCTCTGGTCACTCCTAGCATAAACTGGATTTGGACAGGAGCATCTGTCTGGGCTGTTACTCACCTGCATGGGTGCCTTTGTAGATATCGCTCTCCTTGGACTCCTGTGGGGCCCCAACCTGAGGCTCTTCCTCTTGTTTAATCCAAGACAGAATATCTGATGTTGAAAGACCAGGCTCTATTTGTGGGGGAAAAGAGAATGAACTTCAGGGACTTGAATCAGAAGACAAAATTAATCACATTGGTTTGTAGAACACTGCATTTTGCCCAAATTTTATTTCTAACTAACTGTAACAAGATAGGCAGCTTATAAGAAAATGCATAAAACTCTAAAGAATCATTTCAAAATGAAATCAAATTGATGTATTTTTATATGATATTCTCGGCTTGATTCTCTTGTTTTCAGTGAGCCTATTAAAAAACAAATTACAATCTTTATTTTGGAGACGATATTCTGAAATAATCTAGAAAAAACATTACTTTTAATTTCAGTAGCATTCTTTTTTTAAATATTTATTTTTAGTTTTAGTTGGATTCAATATCTTTTTATTTATTTATTTTTATGTGGTGCTAAGGATCAAACCCAGGGCCTCACACATACTAGGCAAGTACTCTACCACTGAACCACAACCCCAGCCCAGTAGCATTCTTATTTATCTATCTATTTAGTTATTTATTTTACTTGTAGATGGACACAATACCTTTATTTTATTTATTTATTTTTATGTGGTGCTGAGGATCAAACCCAGTACCTCACACATAGTAGGCAAGCACTCTACCACTGAACTACAGCCCCAGCCCGGTAACACTCTTATATTCAACATATTTTCACTTTTCTCTCACAGTTTGTGAAACAGCAGAGCAGGCAATATTTTCTCCTTTTAAGTAGAAGAGCCTATAGGTTAACTAAATTACCAGTAAGGAAGTATTTACAGTGAAGTACCATATTATCAAAGATTTGCACACAAAAAGAAAATAAGCAAAGAATGAGGATGACCAAAATGGCTTTTTAAACGTTAATTAAAAGAGAAATATACTTCCAGAATTACAAAATCAAATCAGTTTAAACACAGAATTTGACTCCTCAAAAATATACTTTCAAAAAAAAAATATATATATATATACTTTCAGATTTTTCAGATTTCCAATTCTGGACTTCTCCTCAGATATCATATTATCTTTGCTTATTAAATGATACAGGCCATTGGGTCCTGAGCCCTGGTCCTTCAGGTCTTGGGATTCTTTTAGAACAAAAACAGCATTGCCTCTGAAGGCCTCATTTGGTCAGTGCAGATGCTTGCTATTCCAGCCTGGATCTGGGTGGCCTTTTTTGGCCTAAAAGGGCAAGCTGGCAAGACCCAGAGAGTAAACTCAAGCTCTCTATAGTTATTTCTCAAAAAAGCCTTGTAGGCAGGGTATGGTTTTATTTCTAGCAAATGAACAGCACTCACTCTTTTGCCCAGTGCTTTTAAGTCAGCTGGAGATGGCTGGAATCTAATGTGTGCCGAGATCAAAAAGAAGCAGTGGGTACAACCAGGGCCAAACACTGTCCATTATGTGGAGAGCCGGGAGTGCAGGTTTGCACACAGGCGGCAGGCTGCCTTCCCACCTACTACGTGGGCTGCAGGCATGGCTGTATGTGTCACCGGTGCAGCTTTATGTTTGTTCCCACCCAGACCTTATACAAACACACAGACGTAAAGAAAAAGGGCAGTGGGTGTGAAGAAGAGGAGCTCCTAAGAAACACTTCAACCATCAAAAACATGGCTTACATTAAGGCTTACCTGTTTCTCTTTCACAATTTTCTCTTTCGCAAATAATGAGTTAGTGCTCTAGAAACCTCCAAATGCCATTCAAGCGGATTTGACTTTATATTATTGTTGATCATTACAAATTGATAGAATGTTATATATTTGATTAGCATCAATCTACTGTAGTCATTATGCTTTTTAAGACTTAATTTTTCTCTTCTTTGGCCAATGGAATAGGCCTGATGTGCTTCTCATATGACCCCAGATGCCTGGTTTCCCTCATTTCTGGCATGACAAACTATAGCAGGCTCAGCTAGTAAGTACATTTCTTTTTCTTTTAAATATTTTTGTTCTTTTTTTAAAAAAATCTTTTATTTTTTAGCCATAGATGCACACAATATCTTTTTTATTTTTATGTGGTGCTGAGGATTGAACCCAGTGCCTCACAAGCGCTCTGCCACTGAGCCACAACCCCAGCCCTGGGGTTTTTGTTCTTTTTACTTACATACAACAGTAGAATCTATTTTGGCGTATTGTACATTGAGTATAACTTCCCATTTTTGTGGTTGTACATGATGTGGTGTTACACTGGTCATGTATTCATATATGAACGTAGGAAAGTTATGTCTGATTCATTCTACTGTCTTTCCTATTCCCATCCTCCCTCCCTTCCCTTCATTCCCCTTTGTCTAATCTAATGAACTTCTATCCCCCCTGATCCCCATTGTGTATTAGCATCTGCACATCAGAGAGAACATTTGGCCTTTGATTTGGGGGATTGGCTTACTTAACTTAGCACAATAATCTCCAGTTCCATCTATTTACCAGCAAATGCCACAATTTCATAGTTCTTTATGGCTAAGAATATTCCATTGTGTATATATACATTTTCTTTATCCATTCATCTATTGATACCTAGCTTGGTTCCATTGTGAATTGAGCTGCTATAAACATTGATGTGTCTGTATCACTATAGTATGCCAATTTTAAGTCCTTTTGGGTATAAACCAAGGAGTGGAATAACTAGGTCAAATGGTAGTTCCATTCAGAGTTTTCTGAGAAATCTCCAGACTGCTTTCCAGAGTGGTTGCACCATTTTGCAGTTCCACCAGCAATTTATAAGTGTACCTTTTCCTCCATATCCTCACCAAGATTTATTGTTACTTATATTCTTGATAATTGCCATTCTGACTGGAGTGAGATGGAATCTCAGGGTATTAGAGAATTTGCATTCTCTAATTGCTAGTGATATTGAACATTTTTCATATATTTTTTAACTATTCATATTTCTTCATCTGTGAAGTGCATGTTCAGTTCCTTTGCCCATTTATTGATTGGGTTTTTGGGGTTGGGTTTTTTTTTTTTTTTTTCTCTGTGTGTGTGTGTGTGTGTGTGTGTGTGAGTTCTTTATATATCCTGGAGATTAATGCTCTGAGGCAGGTGGCAAAGATTTTCTCCTATTCTATAGGCACTCTCTTCACATTCTTATTTCCTTTGCTGTGAAGAAACATTTTAGTTTGATACCATCCCATTTATTGATTCTTGATTTTACTTCTTGTGCTTTAGGACTCTTGTTGAAGAAGTCAGTTCTTAAGCTGACATGATAAAGATTTAGGCCTATTTTTTTTTTTCTAGTGAGTTTTGTGCGGGGTGAAAGCAGGGGTCTAATTTCATTTTGTTACATATAGATTTACAGTTTCCCAAGCCTCATTTGTTGAAGAGGCTATCTTTTCTCCAACCTATGTTTATGGCACCTTTGTCTAGTATGAGATAACTATATTTATGTGGGTTTGTCTCTGTATCTTCTATTCTGTACCATTGGTTTTCATTTCTGTTTTGGTTCTAATACCATGCCATTTTTGTTACTATAGCTCTGTAATATAATTTAAGATCTGGTATTGTGAAGCCTCCTACTTCACTTTTCTTGCTGAGGATAGCTTTGACTATTCTGGGCCTCTTATTTTTCCACATGAATTTCATGACTGTTTTTTATATTTCTATGAAGAATATTATCAGAATCTTAATAGGAGTTGCATCAAATCTATATAGCACTTTTGGTAGTATGGCCATTTTGACAATATTAATTCTGCTTATCTAAGAACATGGCAGATCTTACCACTTCTTCAATTTCTTTCTTTAGTGTGCTGTAGTTTTCATTGTAGAGGTCTTTCACCTCTTTTGTTAGATTTATTTCCAATTTTTTTGAGGCTATTATGAATGGGATAATTTTCCTACTTTGTCTTTCAGCCAATTCATCACTGATGTATAGGAATGCAATTGATTTATGGGTGTTGTTTGAGTTCTTTTCTTATTGTATCCCTTTAATTTCTTTCTTCTAATTTATGTGGGTTTCCAGGACTAGGTTGAATAGAAATAGTGAAAGAGGGCAGCCTGGACCAGGGATATAGCTTAGTGGGTAGAGTGCTTGCCTTGCATGCATAAGGCTCTGGGTTCAATCCCCAGCACCACCAAAAGAGTAAAAGAGTGCATTCTTGTTTTGTTCCAGTTTTTAGAGGGAATGCTTTCAAGTTTTCTCCATTTAAAATGATATTGGCCTTGGGTTTAACTTATAAAGCTTATAAAATGTTGAGGTACATTTCGACTATCCCTAGTTTTCCTAGTATTTTGAACATGAATGGATGCTGAATTTTGTCAAATGCTTTTTCTGTATCTATTGAGATAATCATATGATTCTTGTCTTTAAGTCTATTGATGTGATGAATTTTGTCTATTGATTTCCTTATGTTAAACCAACCTTGCATCACTGTAGTAAATAAATACATTTCTTGTCCCAGGCTCAAAAATCAATGACCACTCTGAGAAATGGGACTTAAGATAAGGCTGCTAATTACAAATCAAGTGTTTTAGTCAGGTTTTTGATGCTGTAACTAAAAGTTCTGACCAGAACAATTTTAGGGGAGGAAAAATTTATTTAGGGGCTCACAGTTTCAGAGATCTCAATCCATAGACAGCAGACTCCATTCCTCAGGGCTCACAGTGAGGCTGAACATCATGGTAGAAGAGTGTGGTAGAAGGAAACGCTCACATGATTATTATGAAGCAGAGAGACCTCCACATGCCAAATACAATTATGTACCCCAAGGTACACCCTACCCACCTTCAGCCATCATACAATTAATCCCATCAGGTGATTGATTCACTAATTGGGTTAAGGCTTTCTTTTTTTTTTTTTTTAATTTTTTTTTTAATATTTATTTTTTAGTTTTCGGCGGACAAAACATCTTTGTTTGTATGTGGTGCTGAGGATCGAACCTGGGCCGCACGCATGCCAGGCGAGCGCGCTACCGCTTGAGCCACATCCCCAGCCCCGGGGTTAAGGCTTTCATAACCCAATCATTTCTTACCTGAACCTCCTTTTTTGGGGGGATGTGGGGGCTTCCAGGGATTGAACTCAGGAACACTCAGCCATTGAGCCATACCCCAGCCCTATTTTGTATTTTATTTAGAGACAGGGTCTCACTGACTTGCTTAGTGCCTCGCTTTTTGCTGAGGCTGGCTTTGAACTCGTGATCTTCCTGCCTCAGTCTCCCAAGCTGCTGGGATTACAGGTGTACACCACCACACCTGGCTTCCCTGAACCTTCTTGTATTATCTTACACGTGAGCTATGGGGGATATCTTACATCCAAACTATAATATCAGGTATCATTGTTTCTAGATCTTTTCAATGGACAAAGTTATAAAAGACATACTTCTTAGAGAAAGAAAAGTGTTATGAGTCCATATTAATATTTCTGATTCATATGTAAGATTACTGGGTTTAAATTAAATCCTTTTGTTTTATACTAGTATTTTTCCTCTCTTACCCTGAAAAAGCTTAATTTCTAATGACATTAACGTGGTCTTTGCTTCATCTAAATATATTCCAAAATGATACCAATATACTAATAAAATATGAATGCAAAGTTGTTTTGTGGTTCTTTTAGTCTTTGGGATGTGTCTCTCTATGGACATACAGTTAAAACATTAAATTTTAAAGTCACTTGAAATAAATCTGTGTGTGTTCATGTCACCTAACATACCATTAGGTTTGGATATCTTATTATGTATTTGATTTTCAAAATATTCAAAATATATTTCAAAATATTCAAAATCAAATACATAATAAGATATCCAAAAAAATATTCCAAAAAAAATATTTACAGCATTCTAAAATCAAAGCTATAAAATAAGGTATATTTAGAGAAGTTTAGGTTCTATCTCTATGGTTCCATCTCTATACAGAGAAAGTCATTCTGGTTTGTTTTTGTTTTAATGTTCCATCGTTTCTTTGTGAATATATAAGCAAAAATGTATACATTCATACCTTCCCCCTCTGACCCAGTATGGCATACCACATAAAATACACAAACTACACCTTGGATTTTTCACTTCATAATATATTTTGGAGATCTCTCTATAGTGGTAAGACCTTTCTCACTCCTTTTTATAGTCGTACTACGTAGCTGCAGCATTGTTTATTCAAGAATCCCTGATTGATAAGCATTTGGATTCTTTCCAGTCTTTTCCCTACAATATTAGTTAGAAGCCAACCATAAAAGCTATGAAGAGCTAAACAACAAGCCAGTTCTCTAGAAATTTAAGTGGCTGGCACTACTAGAATCCCCTTGCTAAATGTCTTCCCTGGACTTGGGACATACCAAGAAGCTAAATTTCTTTTCTTTCTTTTTAATATTTATTTTTTATTTTAAGTGAACACAATATCTTCATTTTATTCTTATGCGATGCTGAGGATTGAACCCACTGCCTCACACATGCTAGGCAAGCACTCTATCACTGAGCTACAACCCTAGCCCCTGAATTTCTTTTTCCCTTTTTTTTTCCCTCCCTTTTTTGAGATGGGGTCTAGTTGTCCAGGCTGGTCTCAAACTCCTGAGCTCAAATGATCTTCCCACCTCAGCTTCCCAAGTAGCTGGGACTAGAGGCCCACATTACCACATGCAGCTCCCTTCTTTCTGAATGATGCCAAACGTCTAAAAGTTCCTCTGGCCATTTAACTAGCTGGATCAAAACAACTAAATAAATATGTATTTTATCAGATTACTGGTTCTCAGCACTGCTATCACAGAACACTGCAGTGTCAACCACAATCTAGGGAGAGCAGTGCGAGTATATAAGGAGGGCCTTGAGAAAGTGAAACAGAATCGGAGAGCCTGGAGCTTGGATGGCCTGGTGCAGACACCTGCTCTGAGACAGCACAACAGACACTGGTCAGGTCAGCACAGTGGCACTACAGGCATATTCCTCACAGGCCCAATGCTGAATGCACAAAAGAAAAGCCATGTCATTGGACCATGCAAGTAGCAGGCCACGGGGAAAACCAGAGAATAGAGAAAAACTGGATACCAATCAAGTGAGAAAAACTAGATAAATGCTGAGATTTTATGTTTGAGAGTGGTTAAAAATAAAAAGGCTAATCACAATAAATATAAATTTAATGTCTATATTGATTGAATGCTATTTTAAGTGTGAATCTGATTGAGTTAATTTGTTTCTGCGTATTTTAAACTTATATGTACCATGCTTTCTGAAAGGGGGCTAGAAACTCGAGGTTCTCGGATTTGTGCAAAGGTCTAGAAAAGCAGCTAAGATAAAACATGTTGAGATCTGGCTTCTAAGAAAGTTATAAAAATACTTGAGATGGGTAACAGCTATTGGTTAAAAGTACAGACACTTAAAAAAAAAAAACTTTGTAAAACAGGTGTAGGTCTATAACCTAGCCAGGTGAATGTGCTAAATATTTGTGCAATAAGTTAAAACCTCTATATTTTGATGATTCTTATTCACAAATAAATTAAGCTAATGTAGTCTTGAAGCAAAAATACAGGATTATTATAAATTAGGATATGACTTAATCATTGATTTTCTTTAAGAAAAATGATTTTAGGGGCTGGGGTTGTGGATCAGTGGTAGAGTGCTTGCCTTGAATATGTGAAGCACTGGGTTTGATTCTCAGCACCACATATAAATTAAAAATAAAGGTTCATCAACAACTAAAATTAATAAAATAAAAATTAAAAAATAAAATGATTTTACTGAATTAAAGTGACCAGAGATAAAGATAGGATAACAGAAATGAACTTTGATGGTCAAAAACATCTCCCTGGACTGTAAGTTTAAGAACTGAGTTAATTTTGGGTCATTCTAAAATCTTGGCCTGAGTCCATGGCTTCTAATTTCTTTACCCCTTTTTGGTACTGGGGTTTGAACCCAGGGCATTTTACCTTTGAGCCACATTCCCAGTCCTTTTTATTTTTTATATTGAGACAGGGTTTCACTAAGTTGCTTAAGGCCTCACTAAGTTGCTGATGTTGGCTTTGAACTTGCCATCCTCCTGCCTCCAAAAAGATATTTTTTAAATCCTGTCACAAAAGTAACCTAACGTTAGTACCCTCCACCTAATATTTGTGTGGAACAGTCTTTTAATGACTATGACTAGACAGTGATTAAATACTATTCTTCAGTGAAAGGAGAAGATTCAAAATAGGCCTCAGACTTAGAAGGGCCTGCTTGCAGGGTCCATCCCTGACTAGCAAACCATTCTCTACACTGATATAAAACTTTCCCTAAATGCTAAAAGTAACTCATTCTGCCTAAACTATTTGTCAAGCAGTGTGGCTTACACCGGCTGCCTACTTTTCTTCTGGGAGTCTGGAATTTGGGTATGGGCAGAGGGTGTCTGTGTGACAGCCTCTAACTGAAGACCCTGGTACTGAGTATCTGGTGAGATGCTCTGGTTGACAACACTCTGTATGTGTTGCTGTAATTCACCGTGGGGGAAAGTAAGTGTGTTCTGCAAAGTCCCTGGGAGAGGCTTAGGGAGGCTTGTCTCTCCTTTCCTCGGTACCTTTTCCCTTTGATGATGTTGCTTTGTGTCCTTTTGCCATAACACATCTTAGCTATGAGTACTACTAAATGCCCAGTTCTGTGAGGTGTTTTTTTTTTTTTTTTTTTTTTTTAATGTAACACATTGATTGACCCAAGTCACATGAGTCCTATTCTCGAGTTTGGATAAATATCTAGTTTGAGAATCATGAATGGAAGCTAAAACTATAAAGAATAAAATCAGAGTGTTAAATAAATCAAACACATTGTTCATTTTCAGTAAAAAATGTATTAAGGTATGCAGGTTGACTACCCAGAAACAAAGTCTTAAAAACCAAGGCTTTTAAAATAAATTCACAAGATAACAGCTAAATGAAACTTTGATACATCATTATCAAACCAAATTACTTGTATCTTTTTTACCCATCCCCCCAAAATAAAATGATATAATTTATCTAGCTGAGAACCATCAGGCACTTAACAATATGGACTAAAGAGATACATGGATAATGAATCTTTCTATAATCAAATCACCCATCTGGTGATGTTATTTTAGACATATTCTTTATCATGATAGAGATTAATCAGATTAAACCTATTTCAATACCTATATGCAATCATCCACACATTCTTAAAAAATATGTATAGCAGATGTATGTATTGCTCAAAACCCAGAGAAGATACACTTAAGATTTGAACATTTTGTAAAATTTACCTCAAAAGGAAAAAAAAATATTGAATCCTAGGTTAATAATATTGATGCTGAACTATTTAGAAGGAAATATACTGATGTCTGTACTGATTTTACATATGTCAAAAACAGAACAGGTTGATGGATGAATGGCCAGATAGAGGGGTACAGAGATAGATATATGTGAATCAAGAAGGCTGAGAAACTGTTAGTGGTAGAATCTTGTGCTGGATAGCTAGGTGTTTACTATAAAATTGCTTCAATTTTTCTGTTTGAAAATTTTCAAAATAAAAAGATATTTTAAAAAATGCCAGTGTAGGGGATAGTAATCAAAGTTCATCTGATAAAGGTATCTGGAGAGTAAACTTTCTGTGAACTTCTACTCAGCAAAGAAAAAAGATGTATGAGGATTTTCTGACAGCCAAGGTAGGACATGAGATGGTACAACAGGACCACAGCTTTCTCTGCTAGCTCTCCAGATCTGGGAATATCCACACTAACCAGGCAGGTGAAATCAGGGTCCACTGGTTAAGGGTACTCTGGAGGGACTGTGTGGACTGCTAGGCCTCTGTACCTCTCAGGCACACCTTCCCAGAGCCTCTGCACTCCACACCTGCATGATTCCTTGTCATGTAAGCATGTTTATTTTAGTAAATAACTAGGGTTTAGTACTTTCATCAAGGACCCTTAGATGTGTGGTAACGATCAGTGATGGCAATATACAAGGTGATCTCCAAGCTCTTCTATATTTACCAAGATAGAAATACCCATTCAAAGTCTAGTTGATTTACCAATGAATGGCTCAGGAAGCCCTGAAATCCTGCTTACTTAGTTCTGACCAGGAAAGGGAAATGAAGAGTGGATAATCTCTACTCCCACTTACCTTCACTGGGGTCTGCAGGAATTTCACTTGCCTCTGGTGCTGTCTGGTTCTCTGTATTATGTTCTCCTTCTGGTTGAATCTGAGATAAGACATCAGGTTGGTTCATGGCATAATCTACGAGAGGAAAAAGGGAGAGCGGGTATGACAGAGCTAAATGAAGTATGACGACCAACAGCCATTAAGGCTGAGTACAATCTTTAAGGTCCCCAGGAATTTCTTTTAGATTGAATATGGCTTCTCTACATCAATTCACTTCCAACAAAAGATGATAACTACTCAAGAAAGCAGGTACGAGCAAATGTACTATGAGGTGAAGCAATGTGCCAGGTGAGCTCTGCCCACTGCTCCTTTCATGGGGATAAGAATAACAGCAGGCCTCAAGGGAGAGCGGTTAAGCTCCTTTAAATGTGAAGGACACCCAGGGAAACCCCCAGTTCACAAGACTCACAGCCCTGAATGTCATTCTTCCCTAGGATTTGGCAAAAGGAGGGATTATGATATCCTACTTAGCAAGTGTGAATTGGCCTTTTTAGCTTGGAAACTAAAAACTTGGACATCTCTCATTTCATTGTGCAGTAAAGACACAATGAAAATGAGGACAGTAAAGGAAAAGAGTCTGTCTCCGCCCTCTCTGGGGCTGCTGTCACCTCATTCAGAAGGTCCCAACTCAGCCTCACCCATGGAGATAAGAGATTCATAGTTTCCCTTCATGATATTCTTGTAAAGCTCCTTTTGCCATTCTTCCAACTTTTCCCACTCTGGAGTGGAGAAGTAGATGGAGACATCATCAAATGCCACAGGCACCTAAAATTACAATCACATGGGTTAGTCCCACCCATTGCAATTCAGTCATTCAGTAACTGCCCCCATTAGTTCCTTTTATTATTATTATTTTTTTACATTCTCAAAGGATTGGCAATGAGTATTCTAAATAGCTCATAAGTTGTTAATGCTCCACTTTTTATTAGTACAATCCTAAAATCTCAACACATAACATGTAGCTGGCACATTTCTTGAGGCATATTTAAGTGTTTTGCAAGCAGTAAGAAAGCATCTCAATGCCACACAGTAAACTTCAAGTTTTTCTGGGCTAGGGTTGTGGGCTCATTGGTACAGCGCTCACCTAGCATGTGCGAGGCACTGGTTCAATCCTCAGAACCACATATAAAATAAATAAATAAAATAAAGGTATTGTGTCCAACTACAATTAAAAAATTTTTTTTAAATATTTTTTACATGTTGGTGTACCTTTATTGTTTATTTATTTATATGTGGTGCTGAGGATCGAACTCAGTGCCTCACACATGCTAAGCGAGCCACTCTGCTGCTGAACCACAACCCCAGTCCCCCAAAAAATATTTAAATAAAACAAAACTTCAAGTTTTCCTGCATCTCTCATTTCATCTATTTGATCTGCCTTTCTTCAGGAACAGTTTTCCTCAGGAGAGTTGATTCCTCTAGCACTTCCTCTTCTAGTTCTAATCTCCTGCAAAGCAGAGGTCCATCCTCTGATACTATTCCTCAAATCTATGAGGAGGAAAGGAAGTTCCATGCCCAGTGACTGAAAGCTAACAGGACTGACACCAAGAGCATGTAAGAGAACAAAATTCGACTACAAAATTCATTATGGCTTCTCTGTATAGCCTTTAGTCTTTTTTGAAGTCTTTCATATTCTTTTTGTTTTTATTGTTCTTACATTTACTTTCCTTCAAATTTATTGTGCTTTTCTGTAATGATGTAAAAAGTGTTCCTTTTCCCATACATTGAGGTGTTCAAAATTCTGGGTCCTAATCTTAGACTAATCTATCTCTCTGCTATCTTATATGTTTATTCAGTTTATATAAATTAAATATGTCCTTATTTAGTATATAATAATATATATTATCTTACACAGATATACATGAGCTTTTTATCTCATCATTTGACAATACAATTTTATATTTTACCCAGCTATTTCTTGTTCAAGTCATTTGCAAAGGCAAGATGGTTTCTGAAGAAATCCTGTTTGGTGGGTAAAGGATCCATAGAAGGATTCTCATTATTGTCTGAATTCTGATCCACTGGACCTGGAAATGGGAAAACTTTGATGTTACCACCACCCCCAAGGACCACAGAAATCCTAATTGTGTTCATTTTTAAAGTGCTTGCAGAAGTTACACCAAAGGCCCCTGTCACATTTTGCCCAGGGTGATATTGGAAGATATTGGTGACTGGAAGACATTATTCACATTCTCTTTCTTCCTTTGGACAGAATCTGCTGATGTCCTCTAATTGTATCTGCCTCCTTACTTCAAGAGGTCTTTCTTCCCTTTTGGAACCTCCACTGAGGCACAAGGTCCAGATTGCCTTGCAGTCTTACCTTCCATGTTCTTTGAATGATAGAATTTGTTTCAAATTCTTCTCTACAGGCCTCTAAAACTTCTGCCTTCTCCTTCGATTTCTTCAGCTTGTTTGTGAAGGGATTCCCTGTCTCTAGGCAACTGTAGTCCACTGCAGTTTCCTTCCCGCTCAACTGGATGCCTATGCTTTTCTTCAACCACCATGTCTATTCTTTCTTTTCCTCTTCCACTACCTTTTCAACTCATAGCTGCACTTTTTCGGCTCAGCTTCTTAAATTTTGGCATTCCTACTTCAGCTTTTCACTGTTCCCTTTAGCATTTGGTTTGAATTCGTCAAATCCACTCTGACTGTGCAAGGGAGATCTTGCATCTGCAAACTACTCCTTTGTTGTTTCAGGTCAGAATTTTCATTTTTCCTTTCTCTGCATTTTTGGTGTTCACAGTTTGTCGACATTTCAGCCTAATACCATGAAGATCCTTCTGGCCGACTCTCTTGCCATGTATGGAGCAGATTTCTCCTCACACAGATCCTTTTCAGAGGGTTTCCAGACTTCCAGTTCCACTTTTCATTTTCTCTAGATCTGCTAACTTGTTCTTGAACTCCAGCTTTTCATTTTGTTGTATATTAATTTTTTTATAACCTCATTCCCTGGCAGCTTGTACTTTTTATATATTAATTTGTAACCATTTTTTCTTTCAGAGACATGGTCTTGCTATTTTCCCCAGGCTGGCCTCCACTTCTGGGGCTCAAGCAATCCTGATGTCATCTCCCCCCACTCCAAAAAAAGCTAGACTATAGACACATGCCACTGTGCTGTGCTCCTTTCCTATCAAGAGCACCTGGTGCTCAGTGGCTGACATTCTAGTGACTCAGTTATGTTCACCCAAGTCTTATTCCTTTCTCAGCTCACTCCTAGAGCTTGCTGCTTCACTTTTATTTGTTTTAAATTCTTGGGGCACTTTACCACTAAGCTACAACCCCAGCCCTTTTCTTTTTCTTTCTTTTCTTTTTTTAAAATATCTTTATTTTTATTTATTTTATGTGGTGCCAAGTATCAAACCCAGGGCTTCACACATGCAAGGTGAGCACTCTACCACTGAGCTACAGCCCCAGCCCATAGCCATTTTCATTTTGAGACATAATCTCATTAAATGGCTGAGGACCTCACTAAGTTTCTCAGACTGGCCTCAAACTTGGGATCTTCCTGCCTCAGCCTCCCAAATTGCTGGAATTACAAGTATGCACCACCATGTGTGACCTATCTTTAGTTTTATCTATTATGTTTAGTCACCTATTTTGAATATTTAAGTTATTTATTGGTCAGTGTATTTCTTTCTTGTTCAATTTTATATTATTTACTGATTAAGAGATACTTTGTTGCTTGACTATAGTGGCTGCCAGCCCCCACAGTTGGGCTTCTAGTCCAGTAGGCAAGTATTCAACCACTGAGTTCCACCCCCACCCATTTGCAGCTTTCTTTCCAAGAATTTGGCCCAATAGTTTAGCTAACTTTTTCAGTCTCCAGGGATCTGACTGTAGCCTGAATATCAGCCAACCACCACACCTGTATTCTTTGGCCGTTTTCTACCTAAGCACCAGAATTCTCTTTTTCGGTCCTTAATTCTGCTGTCTGCCTCTTAATATTTTCATTTCTGATATAAGTAGCATTTTTCTTGGACAAGCCACTCCATTCCTGTGCTGCCTCTTAAGGGATCAACACCAAGTTTATAGTTTATGTAGTTCTTCATCTTTCTTCAGGCTTGCAATCTCTGACTTATATGTCTGTTCTTCTAAATCACCTTTAAATTCTGTTTTTAGTGTTCAGGTTCTGATTTGAGAAACGTCATAGAAAAGCTTATCATATTCAACTCGATACTTTTCCCCTTCTACACCCAGATTCCAAAAATATACTCTGTCATTGGAGTCTCTAATTCTTTGTTGTATTTGGGGTCTTAACAATTCCATTTTTGGTGGCACTGACATGTGCAGCTTGATTTCTCCTAAGTCTTTAGTTTTCTCTACAAATTCTTCTCCTAGCTCTTGAAGCATAGTTGAAATTTTTCTTAGCCAGTTTGCTTTTTACTTAACAGGCACTTAAATTCACTTTGTAACTTTATATATTCATTCTGCAACCTTGTATGTCTCACTTTCGGAGTCTAATGGCTAGTTTCCTGATGTTCCCATCCTTACCTTTCATTGGTTAACATGTTTTGGAATGCAGGTTGAGAAGTTGTCAGCACACTGAACCAGGAGGGGAAAATGTTGAGGAAAGTGTCCACATTGCAAAGTGAGCTGATACCCACATAAAACTAAATTCTAGCTTTCTTAATGTCCAGTTTTCTTTCCTCAGCAGACCAAAATACCAGACTTATACACACTCCTTGCAATGAGTGCACATAAAACTTAAGAGCTAGGCCAGGGAACTCAGTGGTAGAGAGCTTGCCTACCATTCACGAGGCCCTTAGTTCAATGCCAGTATTAAACACAAACAATGGTGACCTGTGTTCTGGCTGGGCTTGCTATAGCGGACACCTCCACAGCTCTGACAATGAACATCCACTCAACTCAACTCATCTTATGGAGGCACTGGGGTTAAGAGATATGATCCTACATGTAAGGTGTTGGCACAGCCCACAATACCTGGCAGGACCCTCAGCAAAGAGGAGGTGGGACAAGGAAGAGGTGACAGGGCAATGAGGAGGCAGAGAAGAGAAGAGTCAGACTTTAAACCTTGCGGAAATCTGAGATATCCTATGAGAGCCCTGAAGGCAGAGAAGGTAGCACACACTAAGAAAGGTCCTTCTCCTGCTCAGTGGACTGCCTTTTCAGGGATGTGGGGCCAAGACATCATCTCAAATTGCTGCCCACTCCCCTCTATCTTTTTAAGTGTCTTCTTAGTTGCAAAATACTATGTGAAATAGTAAAAATTCCATGGAGAAACTTAAGACAGAGCCCAGCCTCTAGGAAGTCAGATGCTCCCAAGGAGTGAGGTGATAAATTCTAGGGCTGTGTTTGGGAGGGTGAGACAATTACTTGTAAACAGTCACTCAGAGTTAGGAACAACTGCAAAGCAGTATTTAACTCACACAAGAAAAAATATGAGTATTTTCTATGTACAAGGTTTTCCCCTAAACTCCAAGATTATTAATATATGGTTTCTTCCCAAAATGAGCATGTAAATTAGTGATATGAATAAGAAATTTCAGAAACAGTTATAGTAGGGCTGGGATGACCCTATGAGATGAGACTTTGGCTAGTCCTAAGGAGAATGGGAAAAAACATGTATGCAAGAAAACTGAGGAGTACATTTGAAGGACAATAATAAATTCTACCTACCTGTGGGTCAAAGTCATAAGCAGACAGAATCCCTACCTCCCAGGCAGAATGGACTAAAGTTAGGCAATTCTCCTGCAGCAAAAATGGGGAGGCTCTGGGAAACTGAACTACCTGAACATTAGTACCTG